CCTTATTGCCGAACGAGAGAAGTCCCTAGGAGAGCTTCTGGCGACTACAGAGGGTTTGGCAATTCTTGACCAGTACCGGGTCCAGCTATTCCAGAGGTATCCGCACACAAAGCTTTTCTTGAAGGATGCATGTCCTATTGGCATGTATTACGTGAAGCAGACCATTGCCGCGTGTGAAGCCCTGGCCTCCGAGCAGTAGGCGATCGTTCGCTATGAGCCTACGGTTGTCCTTGGGAAGATTAGCAGGACGCTTCCTTTATGGAAGAGCGATCCTCGCGAGCCAATCGACTATGCCTGGTGGCAGTCCATTATGGACGATCTGATCTCGTCAATCGGCTCATCTTCTGCTCCTCGACTTCCGGAGCCATTGGCCATCGGTCCGGCTGGTGCGGCGTCGTCGGCAACTGCCGATCCTCGCCCGGCTCTTCCTCTGCCGCCTATCCCCGTGGTCAATCCTGTTTCTGCCTCCTCTGCTCCTCTGTCCGCTCCATCCGTTGCCGCTGCGGTTGTTCACCGTTCTTCATCTTCTTAATTTTAAACTTTAAGAAGACTTCCTTTTGTTATTTCTTTTCCAATTGCTACTTATTGTATTTTTAAACTATCTTGATTATTCCCGTATTATCTTTTTTGCTATGCATGTCTATTATTTACCTCGTGTCTTTACTCCATTCGTTATTTAGTAACCTGTTAATTTTTTAACTTAGCATTCCGTGCGGTCTTATCGTTCGACCCGGAGCTCGAGCTCTCAGGCATTCTATCGATGAGCTCGAGCTCGATTTCGTACCGAGGAACGTACTTGGAACTGCTTAAATTTTTCCTTAGCATTCCCCGCGGTCTTATCGTTCGACCCGGAGCTCGAGCTCTCGGGCATTCTATCGGTGAGCTCGAGCTCGATTTCGTACCGAGGAACGTACTTGGAACTGCTTAAATTTTTCCTTAGCGTTCCCCGCGGTCTTATCGTTCGACCCGGAGCTCGAGCTCTCGGGCATTCTATCGGTGAGCTCGAGCTCGATTTCGTACCGAGGAACATACTTGGAAAAATTAAATTTTTCCTTAGCGTTCCCCGCGGTCTTATCGTTCGACCCGGAGCTCGAGCTCTCGGGCATTCTATCGGTGAGCTCAAGCTCGATTTCGTACCGAGGAACGTACTTGGAAAAATTAAATTTTTCCTTAGCGTTCCCCGCGGTCTTATCGTTCGACCCGGAGCTCGAGCTCTCGGGCATTCTATCGGTGAGCTCGAGCTCGATTTCGTACCGAGGAACGTACTTGGAAAAATTAAATTTTTCCTTAGCGTTCCCCGCGGTCTTATCGTTCAACCCTGAGCTCGAGCTCCTTACCCTCATAAGTTCTTAAGAAAGGGAGGGCAGTTTTCATTCATTTAGAGGAAAAACACATCAAAATAAAAAGGAAAAATATATCAAAATGGAAAGTGGAAAACATGCACTTCCTAGGCGAAATACTTCTTCAGGTGCCCTATGTTCCATGGCCGATGGAGCTTATTCCCGGTGGCTGTGGCCAGTTCGTATGCTCCTCCTCTTAGTATCTTCTTGACGACGTAAGGTCCCTCCCAATTGGGTTCCATTTTCCCGGTGGCTTTCAGAGCGTCCGCCTGTTTAAGCACCAGGTCGCCGACTTGGAAGTGTCTCTTCCTTACCTTCATGTCGTAGGCGTTTTTCATTCTTGCCTTGCTTGCCTCCATCCTGATCGCAGCTTGTTCTCTTAGCTCCTCTGCTAGGTCCAGGTCCGTTCTCAGCTGTTCCTCGTTGTCCACTTGGTTGAAGTTTTTAATCCGCCTCGAAGGTATTCCGACCTCTAGCGGTATTATTGCCTCTGAACCATGCACAAGTGAGAATGGGGTTTCCCCCGTAGCCTCCTTGGGGGACGTCCGGTGTGCCCATAGGACCGAGTGTAACTCATCCACCCAATTGCCCTTCGCTCGATCTAGTCGCTTTTTGATACCCTCAATTATAACCCGGTTCGTTACTTCGACTTGACCATTCGCTTGCGGGTGTGCTACCGCCGCGTACCTCTGTCTTATGCCCAAACCCTTACACCACTTGGTGATCCGTGCTGAGTTAAATTGTGTGCCGTTGTCCGATACGAGGTCCCTCGGCAACCCGTACCTGCAGCATATGTTCTGCCATATGAATTTCATTATCTCCGTATCCGTGATCCTCGCCACTGCCTCAGCTTCGACCCATTTAGAGAAATAGTCAACAGCGGCCACAAGAAATTTCCTTTGCCCTGTTGCGAGAGGTAGAGGGCCTACTATGTCAATTCCCCACTGGGCGAATGGGCAAGGGGCGTCCACGACTGTCATTTCCTCCCCGGGTGTATGTATGCGGGGGCCGTACCTTTGGCACTTGTCGCAGCTTTTCACAAATTGCGCCGCATCCTTCCTCATAGTGGGCCAAAAATACCCGGCTCTTAGCAGCCGCATCGTGAGCGCTCGACCACCGGCGTGGTCTGCGCAGCAACCCCCGTGGACCTCTCTAATCGCATTTGCTCCCTCCGTCTCACTGAGGCATCTCAGGTGGGGCCTAGTGAACCCCCGCTTGTATAGTGTCCCTTTATCCAAACAAAAATTTCTCGCTTTCGTCTCCAACTTGCTCTGCTCCTTCCGACAGGGCAGCACTTCTCCTTTCAGACATCTTATGATACTCTGACGCCAGTCCTGTGCTAGGCTCGCTGCCGCTACCTCCAAGTGCTCTCTTGGCTGCCCTTCGAGGTTCGTTATCTGTCTCGAAGAGCAGTCCGCGAACATACTTCCCACCCTTGCTAGGAAGTCCGCTTTCTCATTCTCCTCCCTCGGGATTTGTCTAAGTGCCAACTTGTGAAAACCCTCGGCTAGCTTTCTTGCTTTGCTGCAATATTCCTCCATTCGTCCATCCTTTGTTTCGAATACCCCGTTGAACTGCTGAACGACCAGCTGCGAATCAGAGAATATCTCCAAAACCCTGGCTCCCGCGTCGGCAGCCAACTGAAGGGCGTGCAGCAGGGCCTCGTACTCAGCCTCGTTGTTTGATGCTCGGAAGGTTAATCGGATCGCGTACTCATATTTGTCCTCCTCGGGACTGACCAATAGTACTCCTGCTCCGCTCCCCGATTGGGTGGCGGACCCGTCAATGAAGACTTTCCATTCCCCGTTCTCTTCCTCTTGTGTCATCCCTTGCAAGAAGTCCGCCAATACTTGCCCTTTAATAGCGGCCTGTGCTTCGTACCCGATGTCCAACTGCCCTAGTTCCACTGCCCATTTAACCATTCGACCGGATACGTCCATCTTTCCCAACGTTCCTTTCAGAGGAAGGTTAGTTCGCACTGTTATCTCGTGCGTTAAAAAGTAGGGCCTCAGTTTCCGCGCCGTGATCACAAGGGCCAATCCTGCCCTCTCAATCTCGGGATAACTCTTTTCGGCTCCTCTGAGCATTCGGCTTACGTAATAAACAGGATGTTGGGCCCCATTTCTCTCGCTCAGCAGTACCGTGCTTATAGCCTGGCGACCCACCGCCAGGTACACATATAGCCTCTCCCCGACCTCGGGTTTCACTAGCAGGGGTAGGCGGGTGAGGGATTCTTTCAACTGCTCGAACGCACGGTCGGCCTCTTCATCCCACTGGAAGCGGTGGCCCTTGCGCAGGATTCTAAAGAACGGGTAGCTGGTATCGGCTGCCCGCGAGATAAAACGGCTCAATACCGTGATCCTACCGGCCAATATTTGCACTTCTTTTACACTCTTCGGAGGTAGCATTTCTATTATAGCCCGCACCTTTTCTGGGTTAGCCTCCACTCCTTGCTTAGTTACCACATACCCTAGGAATTTCCCGGTCTCCACACCAAATGCGCATTTGGCGGGATTGAGCTTCATCCCATACTTCCGTAGTGTCGCGAACGTCTCCTGCAGATCTTTGATGTGTTCACTGACCTCCTTACTCTTGACCAACATGTCATCTACGTATACTTCCATATTCCGCCCTAATTGGGTTCGGAACATATTGTCCACCAACTTCTGGTACGTCGCTCCTGCGTTCTTTAACCCGAATGGCATTGCTACGTAGCAATACGTTCCTGTGGAAGTCACAAAACTGACTTTGGGTTGATCCTCCTCGGCCAGGCGGATCTGATGGTATCCTTGCGAGGCGTCCATCATGCTAAGCATCGCGCACCCAGCAGTTGAGTCTACTAGTTGGTCGATTCTTGGCAATGGGTAGTGATCCTTCGGGCAAGCTTGATTCAAGTCGCGGAAATCTATGCACATTCTCCATTTTCCTTCCGCCTTCTTTACCAGCACAGCGTTTGACAACCAGGTCGGGAACTGGATTTCCCTGATGTGCCCCGCCTCTAACAACCTCTTTACTTCCTCGCCAATGATCCTATCTTTCTCCGCCCCAAAATGTCTCCTCTTCTGTTTCACAGGGCGAGCGTCGGGACTTAGGTTCAGCTTGTGGACGGCCACCGAGGGATCTATCGCGACCAGGTCTACGGGAGACCAGACAAACACGTCTTGATGGTCTCGTAGGCATGCTATCAGCTCCTCGGCCGTTTTGCTATTCATTCTGGTTCCTATTTTGGTGACCCTTGTAGGGTCACTTTCGCTGAGATGGACCACTCGCAATTCTTCCATGGGCTGGATGTGACCCTCCCTCTCGTCGTCCGGGTCCTCGCGGGCCCTTTTCTCTCCTGCCCTATCTATGCCATCCTCTTCATGCTTACCCGAGCGCTCCCCCCATCCGATGGGGTTAATGCGTCGCTGCCCCTGTAGCGCTTGGTTATAGCACCATCTGGACGTCTCCTGGTCACCCCGGACTTCTCCTACCCGATCTAGTACTGGGACGACGGCTTCGAACGACGACGGCTTCGAACGAATTCATCCAAGGTCGTCCCATTATCATGTTGTATGTCGACGGTGCATCTATGATCAGGAATCTGACAGCCCTTGTGGCTCGCAGGGGCTCGGTTCCCAGAGACACAGGTAATGTTACCTCACCCATGGGTTGTACTACCTACCCGGCGAAGCCAATGAGCGCCGTGTCCACCCTCCGAACTTCGAAGTTCAGTCTCATCTGCTTGAAACATTCGTAGTAGATGATGTCTGCCGAGCTACCTGTATCCACTAATATTCTGGCCACATCATAGTTGGCTACCATGGCCGTGATGACCAACGCGTCTTTGTGTGGCTGTTGTATCCCAGTCTCGTCCTGCACTCCAAATGTGATAGGCGGGGCTATAGATACCCGGTACATCATGGCGAGTTCTCCCCTTAGTTCCTGCAACTCTCTTAGGTGCGCCCGTCGAGACCTGTTCGAGTCCCCACCGACAGGGCCACCGAAAATCGTGTGAATGTAACTGTTAGGTGGACGGGCCTCTGTGGTTCCGCTCGCGTTGGTCGGGGGCCGGTTTGAGCTATCTCCCTTCTTGGCCTGCCTTATCCCATTGGGATTACCGCCAACGAATTCCGAAAGATTCTTAGTCCTGATCAGCCTCTCGATCTCATCTCTTAGGTGCTGGCATTCATCAGTGGAATGGCCGTGTTCATTGTGGAACTTACAATAGGGCCCGGCGTTGGCGGGCTTTCTTGGGACCTCCGCGTAAGTTCGGGGCCACTTGAGCTTGGGGTGGTTGGCGATGGCAACTAGTATCTCGGAAGGGGCCGACGAGAGAGGTGCGTAATTCTCAAAACGAGGACCCACCCTCCTGTCCAGGCCGGGCTCTCGTCGGTAGGTCGGTTCTTGCTTCCTTATCTCCTCGCGGGCCTTATCCTTCCGTTTTTCCACCGGCGAAATGCCCTCTATAGTTCTGCTTCTCCGGGCTTCCTCCGCGTTTATGTACTTCTCTGCCCTCCTGAGCAAGTCATTGAAAGAGACAGGGGCCTTTTTGGAGAGAGAATCAAAGAACTCACCCATGCGTAACCCCTGGGCCAATGCATTGATGAGCACTTCCTCACTGGTGGCAGGGACCTCTAAAGTTGCCGCATTGAACCTCTGCACATAGCTTCTCAAATAGGTACATGACAAGGGCACTTAATTGAAAAGAGACATCTAATTTTTTTGTCTTGCAAATATTTGCAGCTCATTCAAACTTATTTGTAAATAAAAAAAACTCTTTTATATATACTAAGATTACCCCCAATTCATTCAAAACAAATTCAACTTCAATTTGATGATTTACACCTGAATTTAGTCCAATTTTACCAATTAATCAAATTTTACCCCAATTTTGACCCGCCACCACCGGAGACTGCCGGTCGGCCGCTGTTGACCAGCGGTCTCCGGTGTTGACTTTTTTTTTTTTTTGATTTTTTGTTTTCTTAAAAAAAATATTTTAACTACTAATATTACTGTCTTGGCTGCTAAATTACTGTCTCCAACAGTTATTTAACTATCGGAGACAGTAATTTAACTGTTAATTGACTTTTTCTTTTTCTTAAAAAGATATTTTAATTAATATTACTGTTTTGGCTGCTAAATTACTGTCTCCATCAGTTATTTAACTGTCGGAGACAGTAATTTAACTATTAATTGTTTTTTTTTTCTTAAATTTTTTTTTAATTAATATTACTGTCTTCGTTGCTAAATTACTATCTCCAACAGTTATTTAACTGTCGGAGACAGTAATTTAACTGTTAATTGACTTTTTTTTTTTTCTTTTTTTTTGTTGAAATCTTGTTTTTTCTTAAAAAAGAATTATTTTAATTAATATTACTGTCTTGGCTGCTAAATTACTGTCTCCAACAGTAATATAACTGCCTGAGACAGTAATATTATTGTATTAATTAATTTTATCGTCTTGGCCTGCATTTTTGCTGTCTTCGACTGTAATATTACTGTCTCCGACCGAATATTACTGTCTTATGCAATAATATTACTGTTTGGGACAGTAATATTAGTAATATTACTGCTCAGAAAAATAATATTCAAAATATTACTGTCCCAAACAGTAATATTACTGTCTGAGACAGTAATTTAGCAGCCAAGACAGTAATATCAGTTAAAATATTTTTTTCTAAGAAAAAAATAATTTCAAAAAAAATAAATAAATCGAAAAAAAAATTCTACGCTGTAGATCGGGGGTCAACACAAAAATCTGGCCGAAAAAAAATTCAAAAACAAATTATTTTCTGAAAAAAAAATATTTTTTCAAAAAATAAATCAAATGGGGGTTAATGTGATATATTTGTTTAAATTCGGGGTCAATGTGTAATATTAAGGAAGTTAGAGCATAATGGATGTAATTGATAAGAATTATATTATGGAGGGTATTTTAGACTAAAGATATGGGGATGAGTTTACAATGTGCATTTAAGTCCCTTGTCATGTCCCTTTTTGCCATTTGCCCTAAATATAATGTACTGAAATCTCTACACATCGACTATAGTATACTACAAAGTCTACAGTCATATATAGTTATATGTAGTCACGTAATGTATTTTTACACCAAAGTTATGAACGACCAATTATGTAGACCGCTGATTAGATAAGAAAAGAACTTCATCTACACCAACAACAAAATTCACAATTTTAATCTTCATATTACATATCAATTAGTACCCAACAAAAAAATGAAAAAACACAATCATCAACATCACTGTACATCAGAAAAAACTGAAATGCTAAATCCTGCATGACTTATACCAAACCCTGCACACAATTAAAATACTTTCTCTCTCTAAATCTTGTTTTCCTCCCCACCTTTTTTTTCCTTTCCCATTTTTCCAAAAAATCACACACAAAAAACCATCTCCAGCATTCCAAGTTTGAATTTGAGGAAAAATGTTCACATATTCATGTTGGGGATGAGGCACGTGTACGCAGTAGAAACCAATTTTTTTTTTTTTTTTTAATATAAACTAATTTATATAAACAAACATGTGCTTATTAATTACAATTAGTTGTGTATCTTTTCGCTTCCAATCATCGACAAACATGCTTACATATATAATTAACTTAAACAACATAAATTAAATCATCATAGCATGCTTGCAAAATTAAATGGAATAATAAACATGCTCAACGAACGATTCACATAAAGACATAATGAAACATACATTAATCTCAATTAATATAAATTAATTAATTTATATTAAATAGGGAAAACGAGCTTTTACCCTTGAAGCGTGAATGGAACGAAGACTCGAGAAGATGGCTACTACTCTTCCCACTCCTACTGATCCAACCAATTTTCTGATCCATGAGTAGTGAAATTAAAGGTGTGCTCCGACTTCAATATCTCCATGATTATTCACTGAATGGAAAATTGCTTCAGAGTGATTGTCGATCCATGAGTAGTGAAGCTGCTTTCCAAATTGCATGTCGATGCGATCATTGGTAGATTTATGGTGTATTTTCTCGTTGGACTTTGCAGAAAATTCGAGAGCAGTTTTTCAGAATTGCCTACTCACATTACCTACTTGTGGCGGCGCGTGGAGGCGCGTGAAGACGACCCTAGTGGCGGCATTGGCAGCAGAAGAACCTTCCTCCTATTGGGTTTCACCTCGTATATTCAATCCACTATCCACGCAGTACTAGATACGTGATAGGCTAAGTACAACGAAGAAGAATGAGGGGAAAAGAAAGATGCCGATGCAGCGGTGTCTGACAGCGGCGCTGCGGCTGGTGGCGGAGGTAGGGTTTCGGCTGCAAGGTGGGCAGCTGATGGAGGGAGAGAGGTTAGGGTTTCATGCTTGTTTTGTCTGTCTTTCACAAGACATATAAATCCTATTTATATGGTAGTAGTGAAAGTCCTAACATGCTTAAGTTGGGTTAGGCCCAACAACTTAAGCCCACTCTCTTCCTTGGCTCATTTATAACAAACGAATGCTCGCAAAAATATAACAATTATATTTTGATGACGAGCGCAAAATTCTCGTCGATACGAATACCACTTTGCAATTTTTCAATTTCCGAAATTTGAAACCGTAATTTAGGAATTGCCAAATCGGGAAACTTCCCAATATAAAAAGTTCACTAAATTTCTGTCGGATTCTTTTCCTCTATTTACTCTCATCCGTAATTAACAATTACGAATGTTGGACTAAATCACATTGACTTACAATTACACTAAGATTAACTAATGAATCTTAGCTCGTTGCATTTAAGGATCTCAAGTACACGAGTAGTGTGACTGTTGAGTGTAGATTTTACACTTAATACGTTTACTTTACGTGGATCTTTTATTTAGATTTTATTATATTTGTGCTTTAATCGATTGATTTTGTGTTTTATAGGTGAAAAATGAAAATTAGGTGTCCATGAAGGAAAAAAGATCAAAAAGCAAGGAAAAAATTGCAAATAAGGAAATAAATCAAATTGGAGAAGGAATCTCGCCACAGCTTTGGCAGTGTCCACCATTTCGAGCATATCTCTCTCACACGAACTCCAAATCAGTTGATTTTGGTGGCATTGGAAAGCGAAGTTCAAGGGCTACAATTCTTATTCATGCAACGTTCCAAAATTCGGACTCCAACATGGCGAAAATCGAAGAACAAATCCTAATGGGGGAAAGTGGCGGAAATTGATTCCTATTAGGTTTCCAATACTTCCTTATCAATAAAAGTCTATAAAATCAACAGGTCTCTACACCATAGCACGGAATTGTACACCACAAGAAGAATGAAGATCAACGAAGACTCTATTTTTTCTTATTTATTTTATTTATTCTACTTTGTTTATCATAAGAATTACGAGTAGCTAAGTTTTTAATCTAGGATTTTGTTGGAACTCTATGTGGTGATTCAAACCTATTTTTCTAATATTATGAAGTTTAAGTTCCATGATTGTTTCTTCTATTTGATCTTATTTAGCGCATGAACCTAGCTAATTTATGTTGCTATATGTTATTGTTAGAATTGATTGACAGATCGTTTTAATAATTAGAACAAGGATAGAAGAGCCTTCGAGTAGTTTTCACCGGATGAATGTGTCAATTGCATGTATTATTGTAGACATACAGATAATACCTTAGGTAACCGTTTACGACACTTGTTAGTTAATGCTTTATTCATAATTGGTTTTCATAGACATATAATGAACCGGTTATAAGTAATAGACTCATAATACACGCGACAACATGTTATGAGTAATTGAGTGTCTCGGGTTAATAATCGGGAATCGTAACTTGCATGATAGAGGTTTAATTGGGTGAAGAATTATCGCATAGGGGGCAGATAAAATCCTAGATCCGGTTTTATATTGATATTTTCTCGTGATTATTTGCTGTCATAATTAGTTTAATTGTTTAATTAATTAAATTTAACAACCTTGCGTAGGCTGGATAAAAATCATATTTTTTAGAATTTGGTACTTAGGATTAGATAATTTGAGTATTCCTTGTGGGATCGACATCCGACTCTCACTAGTCCACTTTTACTACTTGTTTGCGATACGTGCACTTGCATGTTAGGTATTTAGCCCAACAAGTTTTTGGCGCCGTTGCCGGGGAATATGGCTAAATTATCTATTTATTCTAATATTAAATTTGAGCAATTTTTCTTACTTCAGCCGTTTTATTTTTTTTATTTAATTATATTATTTGCTTATTTTATTTTTATTATTTTTGTTTTAGGTACTTTTTATCGAAGAGGATGCGACACGAACTTGATCCCGAAATTGAGCGAACGCTTAGGCACACCACGAGAAATCAACGGTTAGCTCAAAACGTTCCCGCAACAACGGAAGAAGAAAATAATCGCAGGGGAGATGACCAAGGACGCTTACTAAATGCGGAAGGAAATATCATCAACGAGCAAGAACAACTTCAGCTCATTAATCCACCACCTCGTCAACGAGCGTTGCATGCGTACACAGTTCGGACACTCAATGGGTTTCAATCAAGCATCCAACAGCCCCCCATTGAAGCCAATAATATCGAAATTAGAGCGGGACTCCTTACTATGCTCCAAAACAATGGGTTATTTAGCAGATTAGCTCATAAAGATCCGCATCTCCACTTGGTCAACTTTCTCGGAATGTGTGATTCGCATAAG